CGGGGGGGTTCTCCTGTGGCGGAGAGGGGCCTGAGGTGCAGCCGGGGGGGTTCTCCTGTGGCGGAGGGAGGCCTGAGGTGCAGCCGGAGGGGGTGTCCTGTGGTGGAGAGGGCCCTGAGGCGCAGCCGGGGGCGGGTTCTCCTGTGGTGGAGAGGGCCCTGAGGCGCAGCCGGGGGGGGGACCCGGCGGAGCAGGGCTGCCGCTCGGCCGCCGTCCCTGCGCGGGTCCCCGCTGACACCGCCCGCTCGCCCGCAGGGCCATGGCGCAGTTCGTGTTCGAGGCGGACCTGCATGGGCTGCTGAAGCTGGACACGCCGATCCCGAACGCGCCGCCCGCGCGGTGGCAGCGCAAGGCCAAGGACAGCGGCATGGCCGGGCCCAGCCCCGCCGCCGGCTTGTCGCCCATGAAGCCGGCCAATCGCTCCCACAGCTCCAGCAAGACGCCGTCCAGGACACCCGGTGAGTGGCGGCGACCTGCGGCGTAGCCTGGGTGGGGGAGCGTCGCCCGGGCTGCTTTGCCTGTAGCTGTGCGGCTCTGGCCTCCATGCCAGGCTGCCCTAGCTGGCTTGCTGGTCAGGCAGGAGGAGGTGGGCTACACTGCCTGGCTCCTGGGAGTCACCCACCTTCTCCTCCCCAGCATGAGGTGGGCAGAGCTCTGTGTGCTGGGGCTGGGTGAAATGCTGATCACCCAGCTGAGCCTTGCTGGCAGAGCTGTGTGTTGGGACAAGTGTGGGTAGGACTGTCTGCTGACAGCTTTATGTGCTCTAACAGTATTTTTGCATCCTCTCCTTATCTGTGAACTCTGGTGTTGTTGCACTAGACCCAAGGAGTTGTCTCCTGGCAGTCCCTAACCGGAGCTTAGTACAATTAAACAGGGGGGTATAAAAATACAAGTTAGCTGTGACTGGATGGCGTGAGCTCTCCAAGTCGTGCTTGTCTGGAACTTGTCTGGTAGGTGTGATCTGGGAGTGCTGGATTTGGTCTCTATTAAAAGCTCTAATATAAGCTGTTTAATAACTGTAAGGCAATATTTATGCATGTGAATGCAGGTAAACCTGGATCCAAAATTCAGAGCACCCCAACAAAGGCTGGGGGGGATCGCTACATTCCCAACCGCAGCACTATGCAGATGGAGATGGCCAATTTCCTTCTAACCAAAGAGAATGACCCTGCTGAGGAGTCCCCTACCAAAAAGGTCAGCGTGTTGCTAAGTTACAATTACTACAATGATCACTACCAAACACCTAATCCTTCTTGACCTTTTTACAGAGAAGCAAACTGTTGGTTTCATCAAGTAGGCACATGGGGCTGAGAGCCCCAGCCATCACTGCTTCCAGCTCTGGGCTTCAGGAGCCCAGGATGTTGTGGAAGCTGTAAAGCCTGCAGTTGGAACAGGTACACAGCTGCTCCACAGGAACCTGACCATAGCTGCTCTGTGGGGTTGTTTCCCTAGGTACAGGGAAGAGCAGAGCCTTACACCTCTGCTTCCACTCACTCTAGCCTGTGCTGCTTCTGGTAGCAAAATTCAACTTTGGGCTAGTGAGGCTTTAAAATATAGCAGGCTACAGAGATACAAAGCTGTGAGCCTGTGCACAGTGAAACTGCTGGTGGTAGCTATTCTAGGACAATGTCTACATGGGGAGCTATTCTGGAATGTGTACACTGTGTTCTGAAATCTGTTTATGAAGCATTTGGTCCCTTGTAGCTGTGGCTTTCCCCACTGGCAATGAGACACTGAACTTGCCACTCTTCTGTATGAAAATGTGAGCAGGACAGTGTGCCAATGTCTGAAGAAAAACTACTTTGACCTGCCTGTCTGTAGCTGACTCCCACACACAGCTGTACACCTCCTGATTCTAGGAGAAGGGGGCTTAGGTACATGCTCTGCCAGCTGCAGTTTTAAGTGCAGCATGGGCTTTGTGTTTCAAATGCATCTCACTGAGGGTAGTTTCTCTCTGTAGGAGCAACAGAAAGCCTGGGCAGTGAATCTGAATGGCTTTGATATAGAAGAGGCAAAGATCCTCCGCCTCAGTGGAAAGCCACAGAATGCTCCGGAAGGTATGATACAGGGTCTGTGTAAGTTGACTCAGCTGGAGAGATCTGGGCAGGGGAACAGCAACACAGAGGCCCTGCGTGCAGACACAGGAGAGGTCAACTGGCTTCTCAGAGCTCCTATGCACACTGGAGTCTCCCTCCTTAGGGTTCCTGAAGTTGAGGGGCTGTGTAACAGCTACAGTGAATTTATTTACAAAAGTTGAAATGACTGCCAGTTGCTCACTTGTACTGCAGGTGGCTAACCTTCCTGAGGTCTGCAAAAGCTTCAAACTCTCTCCTGTGCACTTGTAGCTTAACAGTCACTAAATATAATGGCATACAGAAAATCAAGTGCTTGTCAGTTAAACTTGTTCCTGTGAATTAGGGAATCGGAGCTCAGCCTGGTTCAGCAGTTCATACTGCCAGTGATGTTAGCACACTGCACTCTTCTGAGTGTATCTCTTCTCTGACGACTTCACTTTCCCTGGAAGGGATTTCTGTTTGGGTGAGCAGTGCTTAGCTGGGACAAAACAGTAACTCAGGTTAACAAATCTGTTCCTCTGCACACAGGCTATCAGAATAACCTGAAAGTGCTCTACAGTCAGAAAACGACACCTGGATCCAGCAGGAAGAATGGCAGATACATTCCCTCAATGCCAGACCGGATTCTGGATGCACCGGAGATCCGCAATGACTATTGTAAGTAGGCTGCAATGTTGAGTGCTGGGCATTGAGATCATTCTGCACTGGAGTGCAGCTCCTAGGACAGTGTAACTGGGCTCTTTCACTATCTTAACCATGCAGGCTGGCATGGCCCACTTCTGGAGTGTCCCTGTGTGGCCTTAGAGGAACATGCTATGTATGTGCTGGGATTAAGGCTACCTGACCCCACCAGCTGGGCATGGTGACACCCAGAAGGCTGCCCCTTATCTGTGTGTGTATGTGTGTGTGCACATACCTGGTGCAAGTGGAAGATCTGCCATCAGCACTGGGGAAGGACAGGGCTCCCCAGGTAAGCACAGTGTGACCTGCATTGCTCTTCCAAATTGTAGATCTGAATCTCATTGACTGGAGCTCTCAGAACTTCCTGGCAGTGGCTCTGGACAACTCTGTCTATCTGTGGAATCACACCTCTGGGGAGATTATCCAGCTGCTGCAGATGGAGCATCCAGATGATTATGTCTCCTCTGTGTCATGGATTAAAGAAGGAAACTACCTTGCTGTTGGCACAAGTAATGCTGAGGTCCAGGTGAGTGCAGGAGTAAAACTAGAGGTGTTGTCTAGGGATTGCTGGAGGGTCTTGGGACAAAGACTTGGCTAAGCACAAGAAGGATGCTCTGTACCCTGACTTGTCTTGACTGGTGTGGTGTGGTGTGGAAATGTCCACAGCAAGTGACCAGCTGCAGCATGCAAGGTGGAGTTTGGCATTGGAGTTTTCTGATGCCTGGAGTTACCTTCTGTTCTGTAGGCATGAGATACAAGTTGATCTCTGCTCCCTTACTGACAAGGTTGAATGACAAAGCCTGTGCAGTGAGGTTCCTAGGGCAAAGCAACTGGGCTGGGTTTCCTCATCCTCTGGAGAACTTATTGCTCTGCCTTTCTAGCTATGGGACATACAGCACCAGAAACGTCTCCGAAATATGATCAGCCATTCTTCCCGTGTGGGGTCCCTCAGCTGGAACAGCTACATTCTCTCCAGGTAAAGCAGTGGGTGGGGGTGGGTAAAAGGGCAGTGTACAGCTGTTGCAGATTCCTACCCTAGATGTGTGAGCAGTGCAGGTTAGGAATGGCAGAGAGGAGTTTCTGTCCTGGCTTGGGATTCTTACTCAGCCAGTTCTGCTGAGACCATGGGGAGAAGGCCTCTCTTCTCTCTTGCCCTTTGCTGAAATTGTGAAGAGCTTCTGTGGCTGCTTCGCTCACACCAACAGGCCAGAGATGCTGGTAACATGGGTTGAAACCCAGTGGCAGGTACAGCAGCCTTGCAACAGCACAGAAATGGATTTCGGTGAAAATATGTGCCATCCTGACCCTGCATGCCTTCTCTCTGCAGCGGGGCACGGGCTGGCCACATCCACCACCATGATGTCAGAGTGGCTGAGCATCATGTGGCCACACTTGCTGGCCACACACAGGAGGTGTGTGGACTCAAGTGGTCTCTAGATGGCCGCTACCTGGCCAGCGGTGGCAATGACAACCTGGTGAACATCTGGCCATGCACCCAGGGGGACAGTGGAGACTTTGCTCCTGTACAGACCTTCAGTCAGCACCAGGGTGCTGTCAAGGTGAGTGCAGGGCTGCTGTGGGCACGTGTCTGTGTGCAAGGCAGATATGCAGCACTGGCTGTGCACAAGGTTGCTTCTTGCAGGTCTTAGAATTAACTCCTTTCTCTCAGGCTGTGGCATGGTGTCCGTGGCAGTCAAATGTTCTAGCCACTGGAGGTGGGACTAGTGACAGACATATCCGCATCTGGAATGTGTGTTCTGGCACCTGCCTCAGTGCTGTTGATGCCCATTCCCAGGTAAGACATGAACACCTTCTGGCTGGACACCTATACAGAGCTGCTGGCTCCTGAGGCCCAGAGGCATGGGAAAGCAGGGGACCATGCTCATCTCTGAGTGGTGAGCATCAGCACAAGCAACTTGTCTTACCTGCATTACTGCTTCTTCCCAGGTCTGTTCTATCCTGTGGTCAACAAACTACAAGGAGTTCATTTCAGGCCATGGCTTTGCACAGAATCAACTGGTTATATGGAAGTATCCAACGATGGCTAAGGTCACTGAGCTGCGAGGTAGGCTGGGCCCTTTGCCTGGTGAAGGGAGGGCTGCTAGAGGCTGAAGGCAGATGTAATCCTTGGTTTGAGCAGGCTGGTGGTCTAGCCTGGAGCATCACTGATGCAGAGTGGTGTCCAGGGGGCATGCTGCTAGAGGGAGGCACTCCTGTGGGCTGCTGAAGAAACACTGTTGCTCCAAATGCGTGCCTAGGGTGTGAATTTGTGTTGTCACAGTGGGGTGTGGGGACAGCTGTGCAAGCTGGTGGGGCTCATGGGGTGTACAGGAGTAAATGTGACCATTGTGGTAGACCCAGAGGGACCAGGGCATGTGACCAGCCCTGACTGCACACCTCCTCCTCAGGTCACACTGCCAGAGTCTTGAACCTTACTATGAGCCCTGATGGTGCAACAGTGGCCTCTGCAGCTGCTGATGAAACGCTGCGGCTCTGGCGCTGTTTTGAAATGGACCCCATAAAGAAGAAGGAGAAAGAGAAGGCAAACAGTGCCAAAAGCAGCATCATACACCAGGGCATCCGATGAGTGCACAGGGTGGTTGCGGGGAGGGGGAAATTTTGGCTTACACACTGTACAGTATTTTAAATGTTAATAAACTGCTTTAACTTGACTTTTTTTTCTTTATGGAGTCTGATGGAAGAAAAGGCCATGGCTCACATGGCCCCCTCCTCCCTAAGGTTTGAGATCTGGGCAAGTGGTGGAGCTCTTGTTCTTTAGGGCTGGTCGGCAGGCTGCCTGAGCCTAGCACAGCTCTGAAGTCCTGGGAGGAGGAGGATGCTGTACAATGGCTGTACTTGCATTGCCTTCACTGGGACAGATATACAGGTGTGTCACCTGCCTCACCACAGGTGGAAGCTGTAGCCTGGGTGAATTCCTAGCCCTGGAGTGTGTCAAAACTGACACTTCCCAGGGCTCCAGCCCTGTGATGGGGCTAGAAGGAAGAACCCCTGACTTGCTTCAGCTTCCACAGAGTAGTGAACCAGCTCTGAACTGGCCCCTGCCTAAGGCAGGGCCCTCTGCCCAGCTGCTGCCTGCTTTGGTGCCAGCTGTGGTGGGGAGGAGCAAGGCTCAACTGAAAGCACAGTATGTCTGTGGCCCCAGTTTATGCTGTGTCCTTACTGTGCCTCTGCAGGCACCTACCTGTAGTGATAACCTGTGCCAGAGCAGTCTGTGGCCTTGTTCTTGGCAGTCTGAGCTGTAGTGGTGCCTGCACACATCAGTTAAGCCTTGTTCTGCTACATGCAGCCTCTGTGCTGCAGCCAACACTGCCTGATCTTACAGTGCTGGAGTAGAATAGCTACTTTTGCACTGAGTTTAGTACTGAATTTAAGAGCCAAATGCTATGGGAAAAAAAGTGGGGGCAGGGGCTGGAAACATACAGCAACAGCTGTAATCACCCCAAAGGCCAGAAAGGGGGTGGCAATGGCACGAAGCCTGATGCAGAACAAAAGGTTAGTTTACATTGCCACAGCCAGCTTAGACATCATGCAAGACACTCTCAAAGCACCATAAACCCAGTGCATAGCTCTTAGTCATATATTCTTCCAGCAGCCCTGATCTCCCTCCTGGTCCTAAACTTGAGGCTGCACACAGGAATGCAGGCAGCAAGGCTCAGCTGACATTTGGTAGAGCTTGACTCCCCAGCACTTGGAAAAATGCATTTTTTTTCCAGGTTCAGTTATGCTGGTGCAAGTTGCAGGGAGCATATTTGAGCCTTTACCTAAGCAAGAGCCAGCACAGCCACAGCAGCCATGCTGTCTGAGGCTGTGGGGCTGCACCAGACCCACCAAGCCTGTCCATCAGCTGCACCAGCAGAGGCCAGGGGCTGCACAGCTGATTAGCACCTTGGCCTGTGCAAAGCAGCTTGACAAAGCCTGTGCCTCCCATCAGCCTGTGATTAGCTGAGGGTGGATTATTATTAACTGTTTTCACCTTCCCCTCAGCACAGTACCATGCTGTACCTGGCACCAGGCTTCTCCTCTGCCTAAGCTTTAAGCCAGCTGCAGCCTTCAAAGGTGGGCAGTGTTGGCACCAACTCATGCTGCACTGAGGCCAGGCCGTGTGCCCCCCACACCCACCAGAGCAGCCCCACACCTGTTGCTGACCAGGGGCACAGACTCAAAAACCAGCTTGCAGCAGCTGAGCCCAGCACCTTCCCAGCAGGGCTATTGGTGCATCCCCATCTGGCCACGTGGGGAAGAGCAGGGGAGGTCTGAGGGAGGAAGAGGCAGCTCTCCCTCTTCAGAAGCAAACCCTAGGGCAGCAGCTGGATCAAACGGGGACAGGGGCAGGAACCCATATGCAAGGTTGGGCTTTTTCCCAGAGCTGTGCTGCTGTGGTAGAAGCCCTGCCCCTCTGATGCCACGAGTTAGCACAGGCTTGCCTTAAGCAGATTAAAGCTTCCACTGGTTCCTGACCATGGAAGGAAGGCTTTATAGGCCTGAAAGCTGGTGTATTTTCTTCACTCCTATGTAGTAGTAGAGCTCATCTTGCCTCTCTCCTTCACACATACCCACCCCCAGAAGCTGTGCATTACCCACCCCTTGAAAGTCCTCCAATTATTACTAGAAGGTGATAGTATGCAGTATCTTCCTTTGGCCCCATACTGGTCTTACTGCCCCAGAGCAAGGAAGGAGCTGGGCACTGATCCAGCACACCCAGGAAACACTGCCATATAAGGTGTGATTTCAGCTCAGAGCAGCAGCCCAGGCTGACCATGACAGCATATAAATTACCAAGCACCATGGCCAGCCCATGGAAAGATCACAGCTAACAGGAACAATTGGAGGAAGGGAAAGCAGAGCACACAAAGGGAACAGCCTGTTTTAAAGTGAGAACCATAAGGAGTTTAAACTATTGTTACTATTTTGGGCAAAAGCAAAGACAGTCCTGTCTTTACCAAAAGCCAGCCAGGCAGCAGGGAGGAGGCAGCTAGACAGGAAAAGCTCCATCTCAGCTGTACTGTCACCTACAGCTCCTGAAGCAGTGACTTCTGAGCACTGAACTAATGTTCTGGTTCCTGCTGAAATGGTGAACAACAAGTTCTCCTGCCAGTTCTTGCCCACAGAGAAGCAGCAACAACTGGGAGAACACTACACAGTGCAGCAGCCAGATCCCATTTTAAGGCTTCATACATACAAGGACACTGAGCCCTGTAAAATGGGGTGATGCCCACATGCAGTTAGGCATATTGGTCACACGAGTTCAGGTCACTTGAAAAGGTTTTCCTACATTTCAGAGGTGTGCAGCAGCTCAGACAGGGTCAGCAGAGCTTTCCTGCTCTAGGGCTTTGGCTGGACATCCACTAAAGCCCTCCCACACCCCAACCAAAGCTGCAGTGAAACTCAGCTTCTGGACGCCTGCTGGTCTAATGCATTCCTCCCAGCCACAAGCAGCCCAGCCAGCTACCCACCACTCTTCACAGGCTTGAGTCATCAATCACCTCAGCTGGCCTCTCTGCACAGGTCACAAGGTGATGGGGGAGGCAGCACTGCACTACAACAGCACTGAAGGGAAGCCAGACTGTCTCAGGTGGTAGAGACAACAGAGCACAAGCTGGCAAAACACACTTCTGTAGCAAGAACAAGGCAGCAGCAACATAAACCTCCCTCTGACCAGCCCAAGCTATGTTCTGCACAGATCCACACTGCAGGGGCATTCACAGATGGCAGCAGCTCTGGCTTCAGCAGATGCAGAAAGCAACAGACTGCTGTCTCCCCATCACCTGGGCTTCCAGGGGCTCTATTCCCTCTGCCACACCTCAGCTCCCCAGGATTTCTGAGAAGCAGCAGCTCCTTCTGGGCAGCTGGCCCTGGTCCCAGCCCACACCCACACTCCACCCCAGCCATTCTTTCACAGGGTGGAGCCACTTTCACAACAGGAGCCTTGACACATTTCCTGCCCTGAGCACCCCTCTACCAAAACACTTGGAAACAATCTGCCATCTGCTTCATCAGCACACTGCTATCTCCCTCTCCCCCCAACACACAAACCTGCTACTCCAGCTGCTTCTCCCAGCCCTGCCTCCAACCACACTGGGCAGGACGAAGCATCTGGAACAGTTTCTGAGCACAGCAAGCCAGGAAAACAAGAGGGCAGAGCCATTTCTCCTTCTGTCTGTTTATTTGTGATAGAAGAGCAGCCCAATCTGACAGGGCCTGGCTCCTTCACCTCATCCTCAAGGCCATCAGCATGGTTTTGGTTACAGCCAGAGCAGGTGATGGGCACCAGGCCCAGGAGAGCTGCTGCACTGCCCTGCAGTAGGGTAGAGTACACCTTCACCCAGGCCCAGTCAGATCCACAGAGGCAAGAGGTGCTCACTGTTACACCACAGCAGGGCACACTACAACCATCCTCTGCTGTGCTCATGCTGGGCCAGAGCAGGGCTGGTCCCAAGCAGGAGAGCCCAGGGGCTGATTCTAGGGGCAATTATTGCTCAAGTTTGCAGGAATGGAAGTGGTCCAAACCAAGGCTGAGCTTGGCCTCCCCCACCCTAGAGCAACCCACCAGCTGCCATAAAGGATCAGGCAAGTGTGGCTAAAGCACACACCAAGCACCCAGCCCAGGCACAGAAAGGCAAGGCAACCTGGGCTTATCATGTGGGGGAGGCATTTCAGGCTGTCACAACCCCTGCTACATACTAGGCACCGGGCATGTGTACTGTACTGGGCAGGTCTGGGCCCTCAAGTCCCATATGCACTGCCCCTACATTCTCCACAGCCATGCCTGAGCAGATATGCCAGGGCAGAACCCCCAACCTGGGTGCACAGGGACCAGAAGGGACATGCAGCACTGTGGCATGGAACAAAGCAGCACAAGGCATGGTAGAGCAGAAGCACTCACGCTTCAGCTGGCAGCATCAAGCAGCCAGGGACAAGTCTGCTCATCCACACAGGCTCTGATGAGACAGGGAAGAGGACAGGGCACCAGGACAGGGACCGGTCTCTTCTTTTGGTCCTACTCAGAAGGAAGTGGCCCCTAGGCAGAAGGGCCAGATGTAGGCACTTGGGGAAGTTCCTTTGGAAACACTGGAATGGGACTGCAGCCCCACAGCTGTGATGCAGGCAGCTGCCTCTCTGCTCAGCAACACCAAGAAACAGCACAGGCCCTCCCAGGAGCAGGAGAAGTTGCCCATGACTGCTCAGAGCAGAGGGGCTGGGCATGCAGACAGAGGACAGCAGGGCTGGGCACAGGGGTACAACAGTCTGTAGGCACTTGACTTGGCTAGTGGCACCCAGGAGCAGGGGAACAGGTCCCAGCTGCCTCTGCCCCGGGGCTCTCATTGGCTCTGGGAGGGCCTTGCCCTCTAGTTGGCTTTGACCTTGCCATTGGTGACAGTGCCATTCTCATGGATGCTGCTACCGTTGTGCTGGACTGCTTGCTGAGCCACCCGGGGCAACCGTTTGCCCTTGGTGTAGGACTGGTACCAGAAGTTGGAGAAGAGGATGAAGAAGATGGTCCCATAAATCCAGATGAGGTGGATGAAGATGGGGAACTGGTACTGGCAGCTGGGCATGAAGTAATACTGGGAGATGTGGATGGAGACAATCACAAACTGTGCCTGGGAGCAAGGCAGAGCAGGGATAAGTTACTCATGAATGCAGGGTCAGGGATCCCACTAGAGACCTTCTTTCTAAATGAAACCATTAGGCTCCTTTCCCACTCTGAAGCAGAGGTCCTTATGGTGAGGCACCAGCAGCAGGAAAAGGCAGGCACAAGCCTCAAGGCAGCATGCACCTCTCACCCTCCCAACATGGTTGTAGCCCAAGGGCAGCAGGCTGAGCAGCACCCACACCCTAACCAGGCTGTTAGGGCTATGAGAGGCCCACAGCGGACCAGAGCTGCTAGAAACCCAGAGTGAAAGGCTACAGAAGAGACAACTAGAGCTGCTGGGCTGCACTTTCATAGCTACAAGGGCTGGCCTGCCCCTCGCATCAGAGGCTGAGGGCACATGCTCTGCTCCACAGCACAGACTCACCAGCTGGATGGCTGTAATGTGCTTCTTCCACCACAGGTACTTCTGAAAGGCAGGTCCTGCTGCTGAGAGTCCATAGTAGAAGTACATGACAACATGCACCATGGAATTGATCATGGCATGGAATGAGCCCATTCCCCCTGTTAAGACAGATTTTCATTAGCATAAGTCAATCCTCTGCAGCAATCAGCACTACAAGGAGCTCCTAGCAGCCCAGCAGGGCCAAAAACCCACTTCTCAGCATGCTGTGGCTAACCCCACCCTCTCCCCAAGCTGTGTACCCAGGCAGTTTCCACCTTACCTGGACCAAACTTTGCTCCCCACCACCAGCTCCAAGGCAGAACAGAGTGGTGGAAGAGGTGCAGGAATGTGACCTGTTCATTCTTCTTCCGCAGGACAAAGATCACCTGCAATAAGATCCCAAAAGCATCAAGGACCTGTAGCCCTGGGAGCACCTGGAGCAGGCTGGGCCACTAATCCACAGTGTCTGATCTCAGTGATGCTTCCCCCATCTCCAAGCTCACTGATCCCACACATCAGGTCACCCCACAGCTTCCAGAGCTATAATATGCCAGGAATGGCCTCTGCAATAGCCTAGAGTAGGCTCCTTGGCAGTGATGCCAGCCAGAAGCACTACCAGGTCATACTGGAAGGGCTGAAGCAAGCATCTACCCCAAGTACACTGGGCCCCAACTCCCTGCCCAGCAAGCAGTGACAAGGCCTCCTCAGCAACTCACTCACCGTGTCTGTCAGTTCAATGAACTTGGAGAAGACAAAGAGCCAAGCAACACTGACCATCTGTAACAGAACAGGTTAACATTAGGGATGCACCTCAGCCTGAACATGCCCAGTGACCAAGGGTCTCTATACAGTAACCCTGAGGTGAAACCAAGAGTCACGGACCGCAAGTCCTCTGCCTCAGGAGAGGCAGGTAGCTGTGACCTTGCTGTCCAAACAGAAGCACTAAATGCCATCCCCACTTATCAGGAGAGGGACAAGAACTCACCCTGAGGGCCTTGGGGTCCTGCGAGAAGTCCACAGGGTCACATCGCCAGGTGTAACCAGTAAGCCACCCTGCCATCAGGAACTGCAACAAGAGCATCATCAGGGTGAGGCCAAACACATCACCTACTGCACAGCAGGGCTGGGAACAGCCTACAAAAGGGCTCCCCATCACCCATGTAGCCTGTGTGCACTGCTACAAAGCCTACTGCTGACAACTCACCTCATAGACTATGTAAAGTGAGAGTCCCACCAGAAAGAAGTTGTATAGCACCATGAACTTCTTCAGGTTTAAAGGCTTTCTGTTGGCCATTAGCCGGGGACCCAAGGATAGTACAAAGTAGACATATGCCAGAAGGATGCCCATCACAAGGAACGGGGACTGCATCAGTGGATAATCAGCAATGCGGGGGTCTGCAGAGAGAGCCACAGTGCGAAGCAGTTAGCATCCTCACCCCAATCTGCTGCCAGCAATGCTATTGCCAGAGATGAGGCAAGGACATGGCAATCCTGTTCTCCCAGGACAGGTGTGCAGGTAGGGGGAGGCAGTCTGGGAGCAGAGGCTGATGAAGCCAGCCAAGCTCAGTAAGGTAAAGCCTGAAGCTATGCTGCAGGGCAGCCTGGAAATCTTCTGCCCAGGAGGGTGCAAGTGCCCCAAAAGGGCCTGCACAGGCAATGAGGCAAGACAGCCTCATAACAGGCAGCCCCAAAAAAACCCAGAGCTGCATCTATGTCAGGGCAGAGGCAGGATGCAGCCAGACCCAGACTGCTTCAGGGATGACAGACCACACCCCTGTGCCTGTGGCAGTAAGGCATGCAGGGCCACCTGCCCTGCAGCTGGGCAAAGCCAAACACTCACCTGCTTTCTTCATGAAGTCCTGATACATGGTCACAATCCCCTCCATGGTGGCAGTATCTCTGTGGAGAGAGAGAGAGGGCAGATCAGGCAGCTGTTTTTCCAGGAGGGCAGCCTGCAGAGCACAGCCCTGCAGATCAGCAAATTTCAAGCACAGCTTCAGAGGTACAGTCATGTGTTTCTGGCCAGCATTGCTCTCAGCTGATCACACACCAGCATCCCCTTTCCAGTTGAGCCACATGCTCCCCACTTCTCATTGAGCCTGGCCCTGTCTCCCCAGCTTTGCTGGGAACCCCATCATCCACCACCAGCAGTCCTTCCAAGGCAGCATCTTAACATTTCAAGCCAGCTGGGAAAGCTTCCAAGCACTGTATCTCTAGCCCCTTAGTCTTGCTCCTGCTGTACAGGCTCAAGCATTATCACCCACAACCATGATGTTGCCACCAGCCCTGCCACCCATACCCACGCAGCGCACTGCTCTGCCTGACCCTGGTGCAAGGTCTCCAAGGGAGATGCAGAGCTGGCCCACACTCTCAACAGAGCAGTGCTTTTATCCTCAGCTTTGGGCTCCTGCCTACTGATCCCCACCAGAGAAGCAACACAGCATCACTGGCAGACCCACTGCATGAGGAAGGAAAGCCATCAGTTCAGAAACAAAACAACAGTTTCTGGTGTCAGAGTTCCTGGTTTCACATCCTTGCACAAAACCCTCCTGACAAGAACTACCACCCCATAACTCAGCACCTCAGAGGCTCAGTGCATCCTACTTGACAATGACATTTCCACTCCCCTTCCAGACAGAGGACAGTATCCCCAGGTAGTGGAGAAAGCCACAGGAGAAGGATTCGAGGCTGCAGGGAGAAGGACTGGCACTCCCCACACTTGCTCAACCTCACTATATGCACATACCAGACAGTGATCCAGGCAGATGCTCTCCAGAAAAGCAGGAAGGGCCCAGGCTCTTGCTGCTGCAGGCAAGTTTGAAACACCCTCACCCAGCCCCCTGTGCTCCCCAACCTCTCCCCAGCCCACAGGGCACCAGAGCAGCAAGAAGGAAGGCAGAGCACAGGCCCAGCCTCACCTGACTCACCCACCTGCGAGGGAGGCATTCCCCACAGCTGCTACCAGGCACTCCACCTACCCCTTCATCCAGAAAGGTGCACAGGAATCACTGCCCACACGCAGGCCTGGGGAAACGGGTCCCCAGCCTCCCCAGGAAGTTTATTGCTGCCACCACCAGGAAGCATGCAGCCTCTCCCAGACCAGCAGTCAGGAGGCTGAAGCCAGAGTAACCTTCTCCCCAGTAAGGACCCACTGCTACCTTAAGCCCTCACCAGCCAGCACCAGCATCACTCCTTCAGCTTTGCTTCAAGAGGAAGAGCTCAGCAAAGTTCTCTTTGCTCTAGCTGGGACCCAGGCAGGACAGCAGCAGACACCACCGGTGCAGTGCTACCAAGCTCCTACGTGACAGGCTTCACTGGCAGCAATCTTCATAGGGCCTGGCACACACCATTCTGGCTCACCATTCTCTGCAAATCACTTTAGTGCAGCAACAGTGCTGGCTCCGTGCCTGCCCAGTCATACCCTCTCTGCTTCTCCAAAGTGTGGAGTATCACCCAACCTCTCTGCAACAGCAGGGGGGTAGAACAGCTCTCCCCCTTCACCCCCCACCCCTCAAAGTACCCACTCCTCCAAGCAAGGCTCCAGAGCAGCCTACACAGCCACGCATCCCAAGGACAGAGCACAAGAAGTATTGCTGTGCTTCAGAAAGCACAGAGGGTGGTTCCTCACACCACCTTAGAAGCAGCTGCAGCAATAGGGCAAAGCCTGCTCAGGACTGATCCCCCACACCTCAGGTGCACCAGCAGAACAGATGCTCACCTTCCCAACCCAGGGTTTCAAGGCATTTAATAGCAAGTAATACTCACTTGTGGTATCACTGTGATATAAGTAATATTTAAGGTCCTGGGCGCTGCCAAGATTATCAACTCTCCACATGCAGCAGAGGCGAGAAAAGTGTAGTAGGAACTATAGCATCCTTGAGAGCCACTCAAGGCTCCAGCTGTGGGAAATGCAGTAAGTACAAGTCCTGAAAGCTGCTGAGCTTTAAGTTGCTTTAATGGCTAAGAGCAAGCTCCAAACTTGTCTGTCTAGTTTCAGCTTTCAACCACTACATCCAGCTACACCTTTATTTGCTAGATTGAGGAGCCCTCAAGAGTTAGTTCCCAGCAGAGGTACATGACTATTCAAGCTCTATGTTTATCTTATCAAGCTGAATGAGTCAGCCTTACTATAGGTCTAGGGCAGAGACATAACTCCTGCAGAGTACTTGCCTATTTTGGGCAGGCTAGGATGAGAAGATAGTTCAGTCACTGACAAGCTCAGAGCTACATCTCACACTGCAGGGAAACACTTGAGCTCAGGCACTACAGATTACTTTGCTGACCCTGATGCCAGCAAGGCTCCAGCATCACTGGCGAACTAGGACTCCAGCTCAAAACCATTCAGGGTCCCAGGACACTGGAGACTTAGGTGAGAAGACTCACACTGCAGTTTTGCTCTGACAGACCTGCTGAAGGCTGCACAGAGCACACAGCAGACAAGGGTCATCCTGGCAGCAGCCCTGAACCCAGACAACTATCCCCCCCAAGCAGTGGGAGAAGCCCACTTCAACCCAGCACGAGCACAGAAGTCCCCACCAGTGTGAACAGCAACAAGTCCCTCTTACTGCTGTGCCTTGTGAAGCACCTCCACCACACCTACAGCCATACATGTCACAAGGAGACAGGAAACATTGGACTTGTCCTGAGCTTGGGCTCTGGCAAGCACTAGGACTTCTATCAGGGCAAAACTAGCAGGATTATGCTACAGGCCCTTATGAAAAAGACCTGTGCGTTTTCCACAGCTTCCCCAGGCAGAACATCCTGCTGCAGCTAGAACCACCACATCTCCAGGGAACCCCCAAGGTCTTTGGGTCTTTGCAAGCCCTGGTATCCACACTAGCATGCTACATAGTCCTGCATTAGACAGAAGCGGCAGTGTGCCTTGCTCAGTGAGCAGAAGCAGGTATGTCTCACCCTCCTCTGTCTCCCGGGGCAGCCACTGGCCTTGGGGTGTTGGCAGTTGAGCTCCAAAGGGGGAGTTGTAGAGCAGGCCCAAACATTACCTTCACTAAGCAGGAGGATGCCAAGTACACTGGCCTGCCTGAGCCATGATGGCACCATGCCAGCCCTTCTGCTGCAGGCAGGGGTTTTCCAGCACAGAGCAGCATCTGGAAACCTGAACTCACCTCTGCCATTTCCTCTGTGTACAACACCAGTACTTGATGTCCCTCTGCACTTTGAGAGAGGTTCACCATCCATCCAGGCATCCGCTCTTACTGCCCTCCATGCTACACTGTGCATCACACACTGTAGGCATTTACAGCTCAGTGGTTGGTATCTGTCCTCTCTGCACAGGGGAGACACTCTCCTTTGACTCCTCCTGGATCCTGATCCTCTTGGGCAAGGAGCTGGGAGGAGATAGGGAACCCAAAGCTGAGCCTTGAACAGCTGAAGAAAAGAAAACAGGTCCAAGCATCCCAAAGCATCAGGAACCCTGGAGGGCCAAACACACCCTGCACAATACCTAGTGACCTTGCAACAAATCTCCTTCCACCTCTCACCAACAGGGTGTCACTCCCCCATCTCAGAGAGAAAGTTCCCACTATTTGAAAACCAGATTATCAGGCCACATTCTGCCCCTGTAACCAACATCAAGGATTAGATACTTGCTTACACCAAGCAATGTGTACACTGCATATTTCCAACAAGCTACACAACTAATTAGTGCAACTTCAGCAAGAACAGCCAGGCCCTTCATAACCAGCCCCAGCAACCCAAGAGCAGTCGGACCACAGCATCATGAACCATGACACTGACAGAGACCAGAGCTCATCCCAGTTAGTTTTGTTAACAGCCTTGCAGGGTACATCTCTCCCCAAACAGCAACCATCTGCAAGCAACACTCAGCCCCAGCCATCCAACACCCAACGCTCCTACCCCATCAGCATTTGAGTCAGAAATCAGCCTGTAATAAGTGTGAAAGCAAGCCACCTTAATCTCCCCACTATTTTAATTACAGGCAGCACTAAAACAGTCTGATAGGCGGCCACAGAGCTGTCACCCCAGGGAGAGCTGGCACAGGGCCCTTGCTGAACTGGCTAAAGCAGGCCTGGCCCCTGTGGGGATCCTAAGGGAGTAGCAACCCTCAGAGGTCAGGAGATAACCAGTTGGCCAGATATCAAACCAACCCACATCCCTGACCTACAAGCTGGCAGCAAGGCTTGCTGCCTGATGCAGCTCTGAGCTCCACAGCCTCTCAGGAAGACAGATCTTCCTCCCCCAGCTCCCTACCACAGCACCTGCCCAGCTTCCTGGAGCTCCAGAAAGTCACTGTGGGGTCCAGCAAGGTGTGCACAGAGCTCTGTGCACCCAGGGAATATGTTTCCCAGCAGAGCTATGGGTACCTGTGGTTCAAAAGCATCTGCCAGTAGCAGCTGCTGCTGTGGAAAAGTGGGACTGACCAACCCAGGGTCTGGTGGCCCCAGACCAGGCACAGACAGGGCTGTGCACAGCAGACACTGAGGTTGGCACCTCAAACCATCACCAAGAGCTGTCAGTCACAGCTCCAGGAGATGCTTTCCTGAGCTTATACACAAGTGAATCCAGCAAGATGAGGAACCATGTCTGCCCTAGACACACAAGCAGCAAGGCAGTCAGAGCAAGACAAGAAGGAGAAAGAGCCTGGCCAGCCCTAAGCAGCAAAACCCTGTTCTTTATCAACTCTGCAGTGGGATCACTCTAAGACTAAAGTTTACCAAGAAGCACAGGAAACTAGATTTGGATCTCCTTTGCCACTCTGTGCCCGGGTGAAAGGAAGAGGGGCCTGTAACCAGACAGTGCACACTTGCTTCACACAGAGCATCTCAGGACACCAGCTCAAGCACATGCAGCCGAAAGCACTCAACAGGAGAGCTATATTCAAGTACACCTGCATTACTGCTAATGGTTTCAGCGATCTGACTGAAGACTCAGTTAAGGCACTATTGTCCACATGCTACTAAAGTCATTTTTCTCCCTCTCAAGAGAAATCACAGCCTAAAGAGATGCCTGTGCACCAGCTCATAGGGCACAGAAGACCAGTCTGGCAGGAGAGCATGAGCTGCTATGTTTCAAGTGTGGAAAGCCATACCAGCAGATTAGGGCAGAGCAGGAATGTAGCTCTCCTAGCCTGGCACCTTGGCTCTAAGGATTTGGGACAGAGTCTGATCAGAGTTTGAAGACAACCAGTCCCAGAATTCTCAGTTCACAACAGAACTACAAAGTCTACAAAGAAACTTCATGCTACCACCACCAGATCAGTTTTCCAACTTGAATCACATCCATTTGTCACTTCCTCTGGCTCAGCTACTTCATGCTGAGTGTCAAAGGACATGGCTAACAGCCTGGTACCATATGCTCTGCATCAGTATACTCTGAAGTTAGTATAGGAGGACAAAGTCAGTATAGGAAAGAAGGGATGCAAACTCTCAAACCCTTGATATGTAACAGCTCTTGCAAGAGCTGCCATTGCAGCTGCTGCAGGAGTCACACTGGCTCCAAGTGGCAGGAAGTGACCCATCTAAAGTTGGAGTTTCCCCATCTTTACCAAGTGTGTGTTAATACCCCACCACTATCTCACACTGTGGCTGTAAAACCCTGAGGCCTTTGGATAGCATTCTACAGAGATTAAGCTCTCCCCTTCCCATGCTCACTGGAAGCAAGGAGAGCAAGATGAGACTCCCAGATCAGCAGGCAAGCTCTGCAGAGCCTGGGCAGTCAGTGTGGTACCTCACAAGCTTTTAAGGGAAGGAGCAAGCCCATTGCAATAGGGTACTGGTAACCTTGTACAAAAACCAAGGCAGGTAATCAGACTCCAAGGTCCCACAAGAGCATACATTGCAGTAAAAGGCCTACAGGCACAGCACAGTGTTTTTTCAGGGACAGCACCTCCCCAGGCTGATCAGGCAAGCTGTTAGAGTAGGCTTACTCCTTATCACATTCAACACTAGTGGCTGCGTATTCAGGGCACTGATATCAGTACAGATGAGAGCAGTTGGAGAAAAAGCAGGGAAAAGGCAATATTAGGCAGAAAGTCTGACATAGCAAGGAACAAATTAGTAAAGTAGTGAAGGACGAAAAGAAACAGAGGGTGAGATACCTACAGAAATAGAAAATAAGGTTTCCAAGCTAACCACACTGAGCTGTGTCAACTCCCTCATGCAGCACCAGGTGAGGGGGGAAGGAGGTGGAGGTGGCTGGGCTCCCTCTCCAAAGCAATGGCACCTGGCAGCCCCCCAGGGTACACAGGAGAGCAGACTCAGGAAGGACAGAACTAGGCAGGCAACAGAGGAGGGCAGGCAGGGCTAGACCAACGAAGGCCAACTCCCAACACCTACTTCTAGAAATAGGTCAAGTCATCTAAAGCCCTCTGGCAAAGGAACACAGAGCACCCCTATCTGGAGGTGGGACACACTGTACCAGAGCATTCATCTCTGGTTTTAATCATTATGCAAGTGCCTCACTACAAGGCTCCACACAGCAGTTCTGTAACCATTACACAGTAGTGATGACTGTGCTCTGTCCCATCTGGGCCTATGCATTAATTGGACAGGCACACCAAGACAAGATGGACATTAGAAGCCTACAAAGCAAGATGCAGAAAGGAAAGACTCCTAAAATCCCTCCAACAGCTCTATCTGGACCATTCAAGAAGCCCAAGTGTGAACCCAGAGCCACTTCTCATTGAGACAAGGGGTCACTGCCTGGAACTCACCATGACATCAGCTTCAGGCCCCCCTACCCTCCACACCAAGAAGGCAGTGCAGTCATACAACCACCTTATAACAAGAGAAAGGGATGTTCTCTGACAATACTACAGACATCAGACTCCAGCAGCACAGTATACACACCAAGATCCCAATAGGCATAACGCTTAACAGGTACCACCTTTAACAGGGTTCACAGCCCTCCAGACACAAAAAAAGAAGCATTAGGCCCAATTATCTCCACACAGGTATAGATGGACCATTCAAAGCCAGGGCTGGTGCTCCTACTGCTGGTCTTCTACAGACAGGGAAAGCCTCTTAGGGTTAAGTAGAAGCAGCATAAGATATAAAACCATATGTATACAGAGAAACTCTATTAAACCATGAGAGCAAGCTAGCTGATCTGATGCACAGGGTAAGAGCACTCCTTGCAGCAAGACTGGGGACATGCTGCCACAGCAACAGCTTACCACCCTGATCCATCCCACACGGAAGAATCAACCAGAAATTAAATACCCTGTGAGACACTAAGAGAAATCAAGAACCATCAGACCCAGTTAGCACCTCTACCATCCCCAAGTGACTAAAGTCTCAGTTAGCATCCAGACACAGGCCTGCTGGTGAAGAGCTGGCTGTGGCAGCTGCAACTTGTCATCTGAGCAACAGCAGCCCCACAACTCCTGCAGGGAAGAGCTCTGGCTCCTGGGGACCAGTTCCTCCCTGCAGGAGCCCAGGCTGCCTCACCTGTTTGACTAGCAAGAACCAGACTTTCCACCCCAAGTGCTCCCACCATCTGACAGCCAGTAGGGCACATGCTAGCACAAATCCAATACAAAAGCATAGAAACACAGGAGATCTCTTGGGACATCACAGGCACCACTCCCAAAATCTCCTGCAAGCTTCTTCCCAAAGGAAAGATCTCACCCTGAGTGACTGTGCTGTAACCCCAGCAGAAAAGGGGAAAGCATTCACCTGCAAACTTCAAGGACAGTGCCAAGCCAAGCATGCAGCAACGCACCTGCTTCTGATGCCAGCTTTTCTCCACCAGGAGAGAAAGGAAACACTACACACCTTGAATAAGCTCAGTTATTTTCACCTCCAAAACATGGTGCAAGACACCTCTAGGTCAGAGTGAGTTTTTACTCTCCTACCCTCAGTTTTAACAGTACTTTCTCTCATATTTCACTTCTGCCCAAAGGACCATATGATCCCCCCCATCTAACAGACTTTCAGGAAACAGAGGTGAGAATATGACACAGGGCAGAACTGCAGAGGCCCAGGCTGTGTGGGTGGCATGGCTTAATCCCTACAGCAAGATGCAGCAAGTAGATGCTGTAACAGCTGGCATCATGCTACTTCTCATAGGAACAGGCTGTCAGCAGCAGCTCAAACCCATGAGCTAGAGGGGCTTCCTAGGAAAGAGATAAGACACAGCAGCCTCAGCCAAGCCCCAAGGCCTCAGCCAGCTTTTTGACTCTTCAAATCATCCTCAAGAAGCTGCCCAGCAGGTCTGGTGGGAAGGTCAGCTCCATCCAGCTAGGAATCTGCCCTGGCTGCATTCTGGCAGAAGAGAAGGTGGTCAATTTGGGGCAGCACAGCAGGATGGATGCACTGCTGCACAGGCAATCCTGGTCTCTGAGAGGGGGAAGAGATGCTCTGAGGGAATGCACTAGCAGGGAAAGTGCCCTGTGTTATCCCATACTGCCCACTGAGCACAGGAAGGGGGATTCACCCCACTTCCTGCCCTTAGGACTCCAGAACCAAGGTGGTCAGTCACAGGGA